GTACTCGAGTGTCCTGCACAGAGCCCTGACCTCAACCCTACTGAACACCTTTGGGATAAACTGGAGTGCTGATGGCTAGCCAGGTCTTCTTGTCCAACAACAGTACCTGACCTCACTAAAGCTCTTCTGGTTGAATGGATACCCTTCAAAATCTTGAAGAGTGGAGGTTGTTATTGCTATAGGGGGAGAGAGGAGAGGCAATTCCATATTAATGGCAATGGTTTTGGAATGGGATGTCCCACAAGCTAATATAGGTGTTTTGGACCGGTGTCCAAAAACTTTTGGGTATATAGTGTAGCACACACTAAGGATCCAGGAGGTTTACAATATGTCATTAGAATTGCATAATGCCTGCACAAGGCTTGATGATAAAATTCATACTTAGGAATTCAAACTTTTTTTTGCAGCACTCACTTTTGCATTGTTAACTTTAATCATATGGTAATAGAAGGGAGGTAAACCCCCATGTGCAGAGGAGTGGGTCGGCGGTTGGGCCCTTATTAAAATTTGAGGTTCCTTTAAAGCACCTGTAAACCGCGACCCACAAAATCGCCAATGAAAACTCAATATCATATGAATTTTAGCAGGAATATGGCCAAAAATGGTTTGTTAGTGGCCACATGACCAATATATTTCCTCCATTTCACAAAGCACCAAGGGATGGGGGGGAGGGGGGAGGAACATGGGAGGACCAAAAGAAAGGGATCTTCATAACTGCCTCGGATAACATCTGTCAGTCATGATTGCCCCTCACAGACATTCCAGGCTGTAAAGATCCAGGGAGATGCAGGGTTGACAACACTGGAGGCAAGAGCTGCACAAGGAAGTAGGTGGAACTGGCAGGATCAACATATTTTTTACTGGTAAGGAAAAAAACTATGAAAACATTTTAATAATATTTTAAAAACCTTTAATATTTTAATTAAATATTTTTTTTATTTTTAAAAATAATACTTTATAAAAGACCCTTATTGGGTGATCCACTACTCATACTTGTAGGGTTAATGCATGAACCACAAACTAAAATGTATTTTCTTATTGCCGCATTAAATGAATCCTCCAGAAACTGGTTAGTAACTGCTTTGTTTTTCAATGCAAATATTTAATGAAATGCTCTGGGATGGATGGTAATTGCTCCCAGGCTGAAGCGACATGTTATAAAAAAGGCTCTGGATTCCCATCAACAGATCTCCAACGTCAGACAGGTGTGAATTCTAGAGAGGTGAGGACGTGTCAAACGGTAATGGAGACAGTCACTGTATTGTTCAATTCTGAAACAAAATCAGGACCATGTCCATTACAAGACAGCAAAGTTTTATCCGCAGTGCCAATTTCAAAAACTGTATTAAAGTGCACAGGGCACTTCTTCCAATGACCAACAGTCTAAGCGAGCACCTCTCCCACTGATCAAAGTCTCAGAGAGCACCTCTCCCACTGACTACCAGTATCAGGGATCACCTCTCCCATTGACCACCAGTCTCATGGAGCACTTCTTTCAATGACCACCAATCATAATGAGCGCTTCTTCTAATGACTGGTAGTCTTATGGAGCACCTCTCCCATTGACTACCAGTCTCAGGGACCACCTTTTCCACTGACCACCAGTCTCAGGGACTACTCCTTCCAATAACCACCAGTCTCGGGGAGCACTACTTCCCATGATCACCAGTCTCAGAGAGCACTTCTTCCAATGACCATCAGTCTCAGGGAGCTCCTCTCCTGCTGATCATCAGTTTCAGGGAACTCCTCTCCCGCTGGCCACCAATGCAAAGGTACACTTCATTTTTCAGTGTCTGCATTTCTTTTTCTATACTATGACTTTCTTCATTACAGCAGATGGGAGGTCAAATAAACCTGTTCTCGGAGTCAAATATTTACACTGCATTCTTTTATGTTCATAATATATTGTATTATATTTAAATAGTGGTAACATGCGGCATCAAATATATTCTTTAGAAGGTTAGAGGCTAAAAGGTTGAGAAAGACCATTCTAGAGGAATTCATTTACAATGTAGCATTTGAATGTTATTACATCTGAGCATTTGGCTACATTATTCTGATACTGTCATCACTACCCATAATCCTTAAAGGTGCTTACTGTTACTGTTTTCATGAATACGTTTTTTTATTCATCACATTCCAAATACAGTTCAGTTATATAATTATATGCATAAAAAATAACAGTAACATCTACAGTACATCCAAGCGCTATTCACCTGTCTATAATTGCTAATCAACTAATCAGCTAATACTCCATAGTCATCGGGAGTCTGTTTAAACAGCCCCGATGCCGGCGACGTACACTGTACGTCGTCAGTCACGAAGGGGTTAATTGTCTCCAGTACCTTGGAATTATCGTCCTTGCTGCTGTCAATATAGGGCATATCAGTCCCCCCTTGATATTTTTTACTGAGCCCGGGAGCATTGATAATAATGCTACTTCTGGAGTTTCAGATATTTTTAATCCCGTGATTCTATCTGCTATTTCAAAGATGATTCTCCATTAAGGCTTTATTCCCTGACACGTCCACCATATGTGCAGCATTGTACCCTCCTCCAATCCACATCTCCAGCACATCTTGGTTACTTGCGGGTTTATTTTGTTTACCGTCACTGGGGATCAACAGGTGAAACTCGAATAATTAGAATATCGTGCAAAAGTAATTGCAGTAAGTGCTGCAAAAGGGGCCCAAACCAAGTACTGAGTACATATGCATGCTTGTACTTTTCAGAGGTCCGATATTGTTCTATGTACAATCCTTGTTTTATTGATTGCATGTAATAATCTACTTTTTTGAGGTTGTGGATTTGGGGTTCTTGGGGTTTTCATGAGCTGTAAGCCATAATCATCACAATTATGACAAATCACGGCTTGAATTATCTTGCTTTGCATGTATTGAGTCTCTCTCATATATTAGTTTCCCCTTTTAAGTTGCATTAGTGAAATAAATGAACTTTGCATGATATTCTAATTATTCCAGTTTCACCTGTATATCCCCTAGTTAATATTTTAAATTTCCTCTCCTGTATTCCATTCCAGATGTTACAGTTTTACAGTTTTAGCTCACATGGTGATTTTTTTGCTTCACTAGGATATTGAAAACAGTTTGTGGTGTGGTTTGAGGTGGACCCCTTAGTCCAGTCCCTTATTGGATTCTGTGGATGGGAGATGTCAATTTTGTTGGATTGTAATATTGATATATGTTC